TGAACAAAGAACAAGTTTGTTAGATGAATAAGGTCGGAACCATGGATAACAAAGACAACCAAAACTACAGAGTTTGGAGTAATTTGGTAGAGCACCAAAAAGTTTGGCATGGGATAGAAAGTGAAGTGTGGGAGTGGGTGACTGGTTGATGAGATAGACAAAAAAAGTGAATGCATAGGACCCATAAAATAGAATTATGAAAGCATGAGATAGGATAGACGGACTAGTATCAACAATATGTCGATGACGACGTTTAGAATATCCATTATGTTTTGGTGTATAAGGAGGGGATGTGAGATGAGAGATGCCATTGGTAGTTAGAAAGGAAGAAAGGGTTTGATATTCTCCTCCATTATCGGAATACCGTGTGATGATTTTCTTATTAAGGGCTTGTTTGGGCTGGATTAAAATCTAATTTTAATCTAAGTCAAAGTCAAACAATCAATAGTAACCACATTTTTCATGGGTCCCACATCTTTTCAACCACAAATTTCAAAAACTTCTATAACAATCCACAAAAATTCTAATTTTAATCCCCACCAAACACTCTCTAAAGAAGTTTTTGATAAGTGATTTAAATCGAACAAACACATTATGAATATGTGCTTTTCGTTTGAGTAGGTAAAACCAAATATATTTTGTAAACTGGTCAACTAAAATAACATAGTACTCGTCTACTTAAAGTCATCAATGGAGTGAATGGGAGAGGTCCACACATCAAAAAGGACAATTTCAAGAAGAGGTGAATTACCAAGAGAAGAAATTTGTGACTTTTATTGCATTGACACGAGTTACAACTAAAATTCGAATGTAAATGACTCAACAATTCTAGTTGAAATTTGGCGACAATGTGCCTAAAAATGGAAGACGATAGATGTCATAATCTATTATGCCACTTGAATGAAGTGGTCTTGATGCTTAAGAAAGCCACTAATGGAGAAGACTTCACATAGATGATGGCCACTCGTACACTGTGTAATAGAAAGACCTGTACCATCACCAATCACTATGTCATCCGAACCATCATAGGGAGTATGACTCGAGAGATTACACAAGTCATTGGTGACATGGTGAGAAGATCCACTAACAAGAACCCAACTACATGTGTTGGCAGTTACAAGATTGGCCCGAGGTTGCCATTAAGGAGTTTGATTTGAAGATGGTGGTGGTTGTAAAGTTGGATGCATCTGAAGAAACACAGGACATTTTGAAACAGTGTGGCCTCGAACTCAACACCACTAACAGTGACCCAGATAAGGACGAGGTGAGGGACGATAGCCATGAGTTGTGGTGTTTGTGGAACCTAAGATAAGAATACCAATCGATGGTGGAGAGGGGAATGCCCATGGTGAGCACTGACGTCGGTTGCAAAGGTATCTTGGATTGGATCGGAAATTAGCTAGATTTGCAGAGGCTGAAAGTAGAGAAAAATGGAAAGATGGAGACACATTGAGAGTTCCTTATTGCTTAACTTCTCATGTAGCTCAACAAATGAAATCTTCGGATCACGACCATTAACAACGTCAATGAGGACTCGTAATCATCATCAAGACCATTGAGGATTCCTCTATGAGATCTTCATGATCCATAAGTTTGCCTTGGGCTACAAATTCACTAGCACGATTTTAATTAACTACATATAATAAAAAATTGCTTGAGTGCTCTTGGTAGCTTACGTTATATGTTCCTTGATTTTTTTTATGTTCATATGTGAAGGCTTGGCATCGATATTTGCAGGAACTTGTCCTGCATCACAAGATGTCTGTAATTGAGAAATGAGAGGAATGCGAGTCGAGGTGAGAGAACCAATAAGAGTACCAAAGATAAGTTTGTCTTGATGTAGCTATGTTTAATATTATGGATTGGAAGTAGTGACATTATTTCCAGTGATTATAGATGCAGGAGAAGTGTGAGAGCCATCAATAAACTTGTAAAGATCATAGCCAATTAGAATTGTTTCCATCTAAAGTTTCCAAGAGAGCTAATTGGTAGATGTGAGTTTGACAGAATTGTTCATGTTGATAATGGTAAGAGGTTTGGCAGTGTTGGGAATTCACTTAACATGCACAGCGAAAAATAAATAATTTTTTAATTCCCACCAAGGATTTGTTTTGTGTTTAGATAGAAATTGTGATAGGAATTATACATTTGATGAATTGCACAAGCTCCTTTGCTTTTCTTGAACTCGAATGATCACAATGTGCAATCAAGTTGTCCAATTGTCCAGCCTCCAATGTGAATCCACACAGAGAACAAGAATGACGACTAGAATTTTTTTTCTTGTGCTAACAAGAATAATGAATAATTTTCTATAGTTTTCAAACCCTACCAACCAATTAATATAAGTCCATGCGGCCTGGCATGTCTCTTAAACTTAACTCGGTCCAATATTTAATTAATTAAATATAGTCCATGAATTAATTAATCAAATTAATTAATTCGGGCCTTTTAATAAGCAACACAATTAATTAATTGTCCAACACTTGCTAATTAATTAATTGATAAATCTCATTCTTCTAGTTCTCTTTTGTGTGTGGCCCATTAGGTTCTCAATCACGATACCTAATGACGTGAATTATTATTTTGATCTAATCAAAATCGATAAATAAAAACAGCCTTTTAATTTATCACTAATTTACATTTGTCGTCCCAGATTGATATCTAGTAATGTGTCAAGACAATACATGTGACGGAAAATGTCAAGTAGTATGACAAAATAAAACATGTTCGTTTACCGTAAAATTATAATCATTTCGTCAATATGATCCCATCAATTACGAGATATGGAATGTGTCAATCTCAATTATCGATCATATCTTTTATCATATTGTTAAGTCAATGTAAGTCGAAAACTCCTTTTCGACTTATGATTTCACATTGGCCAGGGATTTCATTATCAACTTAACTTGATAAAATGTAGATCATAATCTCTTATTATATAAGAGTGACGAATCCTCTAATAATCATTCACAACCTTCACTTGATTATTGACCTACCTGAACGATGCCGTATTAGCGACCCTTGGTAGAGCAACATCCAACATCACCAAAGTATGATTGACATCATATAAGACACTATGATAACCTTAAGTCAAATGAACAATTTCACTACCGAACATTAGAGATCAATCACTGACGCTCAGATAGTTATCCATGTAAAATCTCCACAGCGGTCTCCAATATTTTGTTCTATAATAAAACATTCGTGTGTTCATTTAAGTATCACGACACTTTAACTTATGAGATCAGCTACTTATTTCGCAAGTAAGAAATGCCGTACATGATGATCTATCCGTAATAACGATATTTGTATCTTGTTATTACATACAACCAAAGACGATATAAGATTCAATAATATGTAATTTGTATCCTATATAAACGAGGTTAGTCTGTACCTTTGCTTAAATGTTTAGATGAGGAAGAGGCACCGCGTGCCCTGGAGGAAGTGCACGAAGGAATATGTGGAAACTACGTTGGAGGACAATCACTAGCACACAAAATTGTGCGCCACAGATATTTTTGGCCTTCTATAAAAAAGGATGCCTTGGAATTTGCCAGGAAATGCCACAAATGTCAAAGGTTTGCTCCTAGGATCATCCTCCCACCAAATGAGCTAAACTACGTAATAGCTCCATGTCCCTTCTCCAAATGGGGGGTCGATCTGATCGGTCTTATGCCAACAGGAAATGGAGGAACTAAATTTGCAATTGTAGCAGTTGATTACTTCACCAAATGGGTGGAAACCGAACCTCTAACCAAAATAACCGAGCACAAAACCACGGAGTTTATATGGAAATCTATCATATGCCGATTTGGAATACCACATTTCGTTGTAACAGACAATGGGAAACAATTTGATAACTCCCGTTTCTCAAATTTATGTGAAAGCTTAGGGATACGAAGGCACTTGTCCTCACCTAATCATCATCAAGCCAATGGACAAGTAGAAGCAATCAATAATATCATCGAACATACGCTAAAAGCCAGGCTTGATGCTCTTAAGGGAGGATGGGCTAAGGAGCTTCCTAGTGTGTTGTGGTTCTATCGCACCACGACCCAAAGCAGTATAGGAGAAACTTCTTTCTCTTTTGCTTTCAGAGTGGATCGGTTATCCCTCTTGAAATAGAAGTCCATTCTATCCGAATATTGATGTATAATGAGGATAAGAATGAGAAAGTACTACGAGGAGAGTTGGATCTACTCGAAGGAAAGAGAAATGAAGCTGAGATTAGAAATGTCATATACAAACAACGTAACGCAAGGTACTACAATCAGAAGGTAAGAAAATGAGAGTTTGAAGTCAGCGACCTAAGTGCAATTCAAGCCCTTAATCTTCCAATTTATATCAAGTTGGTTCCCTTCGTAGAATTAAGCTAAAAACACCTTTTTTTCGTTCATTTTCTCCAAAAGCTCGTCCAACAATGAGTTTTACCTAAACAAACAATATTTATACAAGATTAAGCAAAAAAATTAAAAGTACTCCCAAATCTCCATATCTAATGGTCTAAGTAAATGTACAAAATACACTTTTCAAATACGTGCAAACTTAAACATTTGTTCATTCTCGAACAAAATCATGTGCTTGCCTCAACCAACAAACATGCAAAACACCAAATAGTTAGATAGCTTACGATTTTGCCTTATTTTTTGGAATTTCATGAATAACCTATAAAGAGCTTCAAAATCATGATACCAAGGCCTATTGCCACTTATTCAATGTTAAATCGATATGAGTGTGTGAAAAATCCAATCAAACATTATAAATATATATTCGGTTCTCGATCTTCAATGATAAAATATATCCTTTATTCGTTCGTAAGATTTACAATTCCAAACTTGTTCTTTAAACTCTCTTTCAAGGTGTATTCTAAAGTTGAAATTGTACTATTGACTCATTTCCTTCTCCATAGTTCGACCAGATTTTCTCCAATGCTAGTAATCACTTCAACAAATATAGATTATCCTATATGCTGATTGCTTCAATTTTTGAGACTTGACTATGTTAATAATTCTTGCTAAAATTTGAATTCCTTCAAATAAACATTTAATGCATGTTCATGCATGCGTATTCTATTTTACGTACTTTCTTTTTTCAAATTTGTTATGCTTATTTTGTTTTATGCACTAGCTTTTATTCGTTTTAAATTTTCTTTTCGAGTTTTTTTTTTCCAAATTTTTACTAAGTGCAAAAAAAGTAGTTTCAGGCACAAATTTTTCATTCTTGAAGCCACGATATTAGTTAATATTAGTCTTCACCAACGAAAATTTTCCACCACAAACCTGTTGCTAATTTAAAGGTCACTAATAATTACTAATGAATTTTTCATAGGTAACGTGTAAAATTTTTATCAACGAAATTTCCATAGATAAAAGGTTTTTCATTACCAACGGAAAATCCATTGGTAAAAATATTTACAATATATTTGTCATTATCAACGGATATTTCGTAGGCGAAAACAACGGAAATGTTTGTTGGTAAAAATATTTGTCATTTCTAATGGAGAATTAGTTGGTAAAAAAATATTGTCATGTAAAAAGAATTATCTTTTACCAAATGACAATCCATTGTTGAAGGTATTTTCTAGTAGTTAACAATACTTTTCACATATGGATATTCCGTTGAAGCTTAATTTGGTTTTTATTTTTTAATAAAAAATACTAAAAATTTATAGAACCCGCTAATTAATAATCAATATTGCCAAAACGCACTAAATAATTAAAATCGTCAAAATGTACTAAAATTTTAATAGATTATATCGAAATTTCAATGTTCATACATCATGTCTTACACGTCATCTTTATGTGATGCTAAGCTAGAAGGATTGTGAAACTGACTTGTACATTTTGCTTTCTAGTGAGCATCATTCTGTCATATCTCTATATGTATCATTCGTTGTCTTCTTTCCCACGTCATACACAAGTGTTCACGTTCAATAACATACATGAACTATTAAACTCCAAGACACATAAACAATTTTCATTATTTTCTTCTTTTTAGTTAACAGTATTAATTCGATTATCATATTGTATAATATTAGACATAGACACCAATATTAGCACCGATAACACGACATCAATATCTTTTCATTTATTTAGAGAAATTCAAAAAGTTCTTGAATATAGTAATTCTTGAAGAAAAATGTATTAGTACTTCAAGGTAAATTCAAGCAATTGATTTAGAAAATCCTCTTCGATTAAGGAAATTCACTAATTATTTATGTTTTACCATTTTCTTAAAGCGGACCACTCCTCAAAACCCTACCCAACACGTCTATAAATTCATAAATTCACACCCACGCTGGCCACTGCCGACTTCAAACCCTAAAACGGCCAACCCACCTCCTCCCTACCTGATGAACCCTAATTTTCTCACCATCCTGGGTGAGTTCAGTTTTGTTCAATTCGTGTAGATTTGCCTTTATTGATTTCTGAAGACTATTTTTTTCCTTAAGAGTAATTATACTTTTCTGTGATTGTTGAAGGTTGAAGACAAAGTCGGATGAGGAAAGAGAGGAGAGAGAGTTGGATCTCACCTCTCCTGAAGTTGTCACTAAATACAAATTCGCTGCTGAAATTGTTAACAGTTACAATTCGACTGATGCAGAGACATTGCAATTAGTGTTGTCTGAATGCAAGCCAAATGCAAAGATTGTTGACAGTTGTGAGAAGTAAGCTCTTTGTTTCATTTAATCCACCAAAATTAATTAACCTTTTATAAGAACATATATTCATATATTCACGTGGGATTTTTCTGTATATATATGTTTGGGATATATTGATATTAAGTGGTTGCACCGTGTTCTAAATTTTTAGGCAAACAGGAAATGTGTAGAAGAATGTGAAGAAGAAGATCGAAAGGGGTGTGGCATTCCGTACTTGCATTTCAGTTAATAACACAGTCTGCCATTTTTCACCGCTGGCCAGTGATGAGACTGTGTTGGAAGAAGGCGATGTTTTAAAAATGTAAGCTTAACGTGTGCTTTTAACGGATAAGCATGGGACATTTGTGATAGTACCAATATTTTGGCTAACAGTGAGATTATGTGGTTTTCTTGGAATGCAGAGATATGGGGTGTCACATGGATGGTTTTATTGCAGTTGTTGTGCATAATCATGTTTTTCAGCAAGGACCAATTACTGGAAGGGCAGCTGATGTTATAGCTGCAGCAAATACTGCTGCTGAGGTTGCTTTGAGGCTGGTCGGCTGGGGAAAAAAGTACGTTGTTTGGCCAGTTTTTCTTTTTAAATGAAATCCACTAACTTTTTGACACTTGAATGGCTGCCTTCACATGTGAAATTTACAATGCTCCCAAGTTACAAAGAATTGAAAGTTTGAGTTTAATTCCAATTTTGTCTCACAGCTTAAATTAACTAAAATGTGTCTACTGCAATTAGCTTGTAATTGATTGTCTATTTCTCTGGAATAATATTTCTTTGGAAAACTCCACAAATTTTTTTTTCCATATACATTCTCTGCTATAAATGTTTGATTATCAGTGTAATGCCAGTTCTTATACTCCTGTTTAACTTCATAATTCTTCTTTTGATTTCTCTATGTTTTCATTTTCTAATATGCTTCCNTTTGATTTCTCTCTGTTTTCATTTTCTAATATGCTTCCTATTTGGTCTTATATGATTTGTACTAGTCTACAAATGATGAATATCCGTTACACGGTAGCCATTACAATTGTTTAATTAAAGTCTACTATTTATGGTGTCAAATGAAGCGTATGTCTGTGACCTGTCCATTTCTTTAGTGCTTGTACATGGACCAGAAGGCATGATTGCATTAACATCTCAACTTGCCGTAATTCCTTCTAGGTTCCTCTAAGTGATGACGCTTTTGTATAAGCTATGGATTGACATCCATGTGAAGCTTTAGTCATAATTACTCTCATAGGGGACCATCATCTTTCTTCTACTCTAGTCTATTCATATGCATTGAGCCTATTGCTTAAAATCTATTTGTTGGTTTCTGGAATTGTATTGTAATTGGGTGAGTGTATGGGTACATGAATAACATATTGATTAAAATCGAATTAAAATTTATATAGCTACATGGGCAGCTTTGCCAGGCGATTGTTTTTTTGCGAGTCTCCTCTTTCCCTGTTGCCCATATTGCAGTTGGCCTGGTTGAATATTTCTGCTGGTGAAATGCTTACTACGCCAGCTAATCCCTGTGCGCCAACATTGAAGTTAGTAGTAACAAATTGCCCTGTATAGTGCCTGAAGCATTATTAGGTTAAGTTGATTGAAGCTAACAATTTTTGGTGACCTTCTTGATAAGAAATCATTATCTTATTGGTTTATGTGAAATAGTTTCTTTAGTGTTTGTACATGGACCAAAAGGCACGACATGTGCATCTCAATTTGCTGTATATCATTCAAGGTTCCTCTAAATGATGAAAGCTTTATATAAGCTATGGATTGACATCCATGTGAAGCTTTAGTCATAGTTACTCTGATAAGAGGACATCATCTCACTTCTGCTCAGGTCTATTCATACATAAGCACCCATTTCTTAGAATCTAATTTTAAGTATCTAAAGTTGCATTGAAATAGCATGAATCATGGGGTACTTGTAAATTACATGGTGATAATAATTTAATGAAATTTATTGAGCTAATAGGCAACTTTGCCGAGGTGATTGATTCTGTGAATCTCCTCTTTTCCCTGTTGCCTATATTACAATTGGTCTGCTTGAATATTTCTGCTGGTGAATTCTTACAATACTAGCCAATTCAAGTGTGCCAACATTGAATTTAACAGTAATAGAACCTAGAGTAGTGTCTAAAGAGTCTAATAAGATGAACTGCCATGAGATGAGTTGTGTACAGATTGAATGAAATTTGAGCTACTTAGGCAACTTTGCCGAGGAGATTGATCCTTTGTGAGTCTCCTCTTTTCCCTGTTGCCTATATTGCAATTGGCCTGCTTGAATATTTCATCTGGTGAGTTCTTATAACACCAGCCAATTCCAGTGTGCCAACATTATGTTTAATAGTAATAAATCCTACAGTATATTGTCCATTAAAGCTAATAGTTTTCATCTACCTTGCTTATGTGAAATTGTTATTTTATCGGTTGACTGAGCTGATCTATTTTCAGTCCCAACTCTTATAAATGATGAGTACTAATTAAAAGCTATGGAATAATATTTCGAGTGAAGCTTTTGTCATAGTTACTCTGATAGGGAAATGTGAAATGCTTGCCTGAGCATGCACACTTGAATATTAAAGTGCTTGTCTTAATCTAAATTAGATTGAAGTTTTTTGCTTTTGCCTCTGCTTAGATTCGCGTTGTATAGTTATAATATCTCTGGTGAGGACATTTTTGGGTTGGAAAAGGGCAACTTTGCCGAGGTTTTCAATTCTCAATTGAGTTTCCTCTTTTCCCTGTTGCCAATATTTTATAGGCTGCATATTTAATATTCGGGACTGAATTACATGCTGTCAGTTCTTGACATTTTGCTTCGCCGAAATATTAACAACCAATCTTGTCCGTCCGTTGCGCTACCTTAGCTTAGATCTGAATTAGCTTTAGATATGCATAACGTTCTTATTAGACAAGATAATTTGGGAATAGAAAATTACTATTTTTTCGAATCAAGCTTGGTTAATAGTATCTTGGTGATGTGCAACCTGATACTATGTTTTGTATTTTTATTACTCAAGTCTCAGATTGTTTTCTTCGACAACTTTTAATGATGATTATGTTTCTGTTAATGGCAGTACAAAGATGTCACTGAAGCAATTCAGAAAGTTGCTGCTGCTTATGACTGCAAGATTGTTGAAGGGGTTCTCAGTCGTCAAATGAAACAATTTGTAATTGATGAAAACAAGGTTGTATTGAGTGTTTCAGCACCCGAGACGCGAGTTGATGATGCTGAATTTGAGGAGAATGAGGTTCATGCTATCGATATAGTTACAAGCACTGAGATCAAGGAGAAAAGACAACTAAGCAGCAATAGCCAGCAAAGATGTAGTAAAAAACCTAAAACAAGTAATTCCAACAAAATAATCATGCCACTATAGAAAATTTTCCGGAAGGCAGTAAAAGCAAAAATCATAACTTGTCTAACTAGGTAAAATCAGATCACATCGTCTAGTATACAGGATTACAAGCTTAATGTGCACTAGTTATCCATTTTATCTTTAACCTATGAAACTATTAGCGAAATTAATGAGTCTTCTGAAGTAGATAACCAATTCGGAGATGCTAAGGTAAAAGGAAAGATCCAATGAACTTCGTGCTCATATCTTAAGCTATTTCTCATGCTGTACAAGTAATAAGAGTTAAACATTAAATGGTATCAGTTCACAAATTAGATTTCAAAGGGCAAAAGAGCAACCTATGTCGAGGAACAATAGATATTTCGTGCTTTGAAGCTGGTCCGTTTGATTGTAAATGTGGAAAATAGGTGGAAAGAAAATGTTTTACAGTGAAATGAATTGTCTAAAAATTATTTTATTGAGAATAGTAATTAATTATGTTTGATTGGTATAATTTTTCACTTGGAAAATGTTGAAAGTTTTGTGTCTGTTTGGCTTCGTTTTTTTATGGAAATTGTTCATTAAAGTAATAATTGTTGTTACCATTGGGTCTAGAATTTATTCCAATTGTCTAAAAAAAAAAAATTAAGAACACGGAAAATCAATTCCAACTGAAACAACAAGAGAATGTTTTCCTCCAAAAGGTGGAAAAAAAATTCCATGAAAAATTTTGTTATCAAATAGGCGCAAAATCATGGCTGTCAAATGGGGCCTAAATACTATTTTACAAAGTTAAGCAAGAAACAAACAATGCACCCTTCCTGATAAGCTCTAATCACTTAAGCACACTACTCATTTTCATGTACTAGCCCCAAGTAATTACCTTAATCACAATATAATGCATCCACTAAGATTTATTTATGTGGATCATCTGAACTTTGTTAATGTAAATTTACAGTTAACACTTGAAGAACGGATTAACAAAAATTAGTTTAACTACTAAAATGAAATTAATCAAGAAAGTTGTAACTCGTGTAAGTGTTATGCAAAACTTACAATAAAAGAATACAGATCTAAAGTACTCAAGCACCTATCACAATGATTTATCCCTAAAGAAACCACTGAACACCAAGGGATCACAGATTGAAGGCTGAGAATAAGGTATACTTATGATTCAGCATCGTGAAGCTCAGATTCATCAAAGAACCCTCACGATACACAGTAAACGTGAAACTTCTTCTATGAGCCAGAAGAGCTAAACGCTACCAACAACAATACCTTATCTATTCACCTAATTTCACACAAAAAACACACTCAGAAACAATTCAAGAGATCCTCACAGAAGAAAAAGAAGAAGATGAACATGAGAGAACACAGAAGTCTCTAGAAACCCTCGAGAAAATAGAGAGAGAACAAAATGAAGTCCAATCAGAAAACCATTCGAATCCAAAAATATCAAGGCATCGAGATTGGTAGCAGCTCATCCAACGACTCAGAGAAACTAACACTTTCAACAGATGGAGGAACAACTAAAGTCATTTAAGTGAAACAAGTTTTTCTTTACCGAACCGGGTATTGGGCTTTGGGTTTCACTGGGCTCACTTCAGCAGATGGAAATGTATTAGTAATGGGGTCGAAGGCCATATCATCATTGTCTTAAATGTGCTGGGCTGGCATCACAACTTCACAATCTCCACATTGATGCCAGTGGTTTATCAGGCAACTTAATGTACTCTACAAGTCACTACTTATTGGCTATAGCTTCCATTGATCTCTCCACATTGCACCAAGGTTGGGATTAGTACCTGCACCAATCAAAGTTACCTAGGCACCGTTTGGTAACAATTATTTTAGAAAAAAATGTATTCTTTGTGTCAAATCACACCTTAAATGTGATAATGTGTAAAAGTTATGAACCTTTCATGCAATTAAAATGTAGGCACCGTTTGGTAACCATTCTTTTTTTCATTCTCATTCTTCTACTAATTNTAGAAGAATGAGAATGAAAAAAAGAATAGTTACCAAACGATGCCCTAGTATCAATTTTCAACATTTGCAAACAAGACTTAAACTTGGTTAGAGGCAATTCATTTGTAGCCATATCAACGAGATTAAATTGGGTAACAATTTTCTCAAGAAATAAAACATCTTTAAAAATAATATCTCTTATAAAATGCAACTTAATATTTGTTTAGTTCTTTAATGATAAACTGAGTTTTTACACAAGTGTATAGCACTTTGAGTGTCAGAATATAATGCAACGGGATTGGACAATTCATTAATTTCAGACAACAAATCCTTAAACCACAAAGCTTCTTTTATTGCCTCAGTTGCAGCAATATATTCAACCTCAGTAATAGATAAAGTTACAACAGGTTGCAGTTGAGATTTTCAACTGATACAAGTACCACACAAAGTAAACACATAAGCAATAGTAGACTTTCTATTGTCATTGTTTCCAGCAAAATCAGAGTCTTCAAAACCTTTAAGCATAACACCATCATACAGGCACTAAAGCACAATCCTAAGTGTGAAGACCTTTCAAATATCTCAACAACCATTTTAAAGCAGCCAAATGTTCTAAACCGGGATTAGCCATGAATCTGCTATGGATACTAATAGAATGAGCCACATCAGGCCTAGTACAAACCGTGGTATACATCACATATCCTACAGCATTAGCATAAGGTATCTTTTCCGTTTGTTTAATGTCATATTCATTTACTGGAGAATGATCCTTACTCAATTTAAAATGACAGACCAGAGGCACTCAGACAGATTTTGAATTATGCATAGCAAATCTAGTTACCAATTTTTCAACATATACGGTTTACTTCAAAATCAATACTTGTTATGCATTTTCTTAGTTATTTCAATGCCTAAAATTTTCTTAGCATGTCCAAGGTCTTTCATTTCAGATTCGGCACTCAAAAATCTTTTAATTACGACATACATATTATGTCCAATTAGAAGCATGACATCCACATATAAGAGTATAAAAGTAACAATAGCATTTGCATCATCTCTTTTAAAATATAAACAATGATCAAACTCACTTATTACAAAACCAGCAGAAGAAACAAAAGTATCAAATCTTTTGCACCATTGTCTTGGAGATTGCTTTAAACCATACAACGATCTTTTCAAGGAACAAACATGTTCAGTTTTAGATTTATCAATACAACTAGGTGGTTGTTTCATATAAATCACTTCATCAAGATCACCATGTAAAAATACAATTTTTACATCCATTTGTTCAAGTTCAAGATTATAATGTGCAACAAGAGCTAACATAACTCTAATAATAGTATACTTAATCACAGGAAAAAAGATCTCATTATAATCTATGTCTTCCTTTAGTGTAAAACCTTTAGCAACTAGTCTTGCCTTCAATCTTATTGGCATCTTCTCAATGTTACCCTTCTTAATACTAAAAATCCACTTGCAATCAACAAGGGATTTACCAGCAGGTTTAGTAACTAAGGTTCAGGTACCATTTTTAATTAAGGAGTCCATTTCATCATCCATAGCAGCCTACCAGTCCTTAGATTGCTGACATAAAACAGCCTCTTCATAGGATTTTAGTTTTCTAAAGACTATGTCTTGATAAGAAAGCAAGGCCAAAGATAGGTAATCGCTATACCTAATAGGCTCTCTTATATCTCTCCTTATTCTATCTATAGTCAACTGATAAACACTAACATCACTCGTTCTTCTAAATCTTCTTGAACATTACCTTCTTCTTCAACATCTAAAAAATTTGCATTTTCAGGTTCAGCATCAAATTATTTAGAATCAGCAGATTAAGATGGCATACCAAGCTCCACCTGCAGTTTGGTTTTATCTCCACCTCCCCCTTTCAGGCAGTTTATTTGACTCATTATCTTTCAAACAAGGCATGTTAAATTCATCAAAAGTAACATCCATACTTGTGATAATCTTAAAGCCACTAGACTCTCTACTCCAAAGTCTATAACATTTAACCCATCAGGATAATCCAAGAAAACACATTTTTGGGCCTTGGTTCTAATTTTCCTATATTTTGAAGAGAATAGGCAGTACATCCAAAAATTTTCACATGTGACTAGTCAGGGACTGTTCCAGTCCATTGCTCTTCAGATGTTTTATCACCTAGAACACTTGAAGGGTTTCTATTAACAATGTACATGGCTGTCATTAAAGCTTCCCCTCATAAGGATTTAAGTACACCTGAACCAACCAGCATACACCCTACCTTATCTAAAAAAGTTCTATTCATCCTCTCAGCCACTCCATCTGCTGATAGGTATAAGGGGCTGTTCTATGTCTCCTAATCCCATTTTCAAAATAGAACGGATTAAATTCAGCATTACAAAACTCAAGACCATTGTCAATCCTAAGAGTCTTTATTTTATTTCCAGTTTGATTATTTATCAACACATTTCAGGTTTTAAGCTTCCCAAAGGTTTTAGATTTGTGTTTTAATAGATAAACCCAAACCTTTCTAGAATAGTCATCAATCAAAGAAAGAAAGTATATATTCCCTTCTTAAGAGATAGTGGATGAAGGCCTCCATAAATTAGAATGTATATATTCAAGGACAGAGGTATATTTGTGCTTTCTAGTGTTAAAATGTAATCTATGTTGCTTCCCTAAAGTGCAGTTTTCACAGAAGGGAACTCTAGAAATCGAGTCGTTCCCAAAAATAGGGGTGTCCAAAAGTCCCGAACCGAACCGGACCGGACCGAATCGAGCGGTTCTTCATAAATTAAATACCCGAACGGGTACCCGAATCGAGAACCGATGGGTTTGGGTCGGGTCTCGGGTCTAGACCAAGAACCGAAG